TTGTAGGTTTTATTGTAGAACATACTTGTCTGTGGGGGAAATGGGAAGTGGGGGAAGGAGTAAGCTCACATTATTTCCAGGTTTTGTAATAAAAAGTGCTGATTGTTTTTATAGAGATTAACTGACCCCTTGATTTTGTAAAATGAATTGCTTCATGCCATAGTAGCATTATCTGGAATTCTCTTCCAAACCCAACTTAGTAAAGTGAAGAGTAGCAAATTCTATTGAGCACGTATGTGCACAGTTGTGTAGGCTGTGATTGCACAAAGGCACCAACACATCTAAGGGGGTGTGGTTCACATTGTAAACATTATTGTTTGCATATTTCTTAAGAAAAATTTCCAGCAGGTGGCAGTAAAGTGTCTTGCCTGAACAAATCAGAATATTATGAGTCCTCCAAATGGAAGTAAAGTGTCTTGAGGACTGTGCACCTTTTTCTATGTACATAAAGATATATAGCCCTGCCTGGTGTGGCTCAGTGGACTGAGTGCAGGAATGTCAACCAAGGGACTGCCAGTTCGATTCCCGGTCAGGGCACATGCCTGGGTTGCAGGCCAGGTTCTCCGTTGGGGGTGTGGGAGACGCAACCACACATTGATGTTTCTCTCCTTCTCTTTCTCCTTCCCTTCCCCCACTCTAAAAACAAGTATTTTTTAAAAAATACCAGATATCATATAGACTATTGGTGGCACTGCTTACTATGTGCCAGGGCCAATGCTCACTCACCCTGGCTGAATCCTCAGGATCCTATGAAATGAGTGGTATGAATAACTTGCAGAAAGCCAGTGAGTCAGGTTGAAGTAGTTTTGAGATTCTAATCTGGGTCTTTTAACTCTAGAGTCTGTCCCCTTTTACACCAAACAATGATATTTCAGAAAACTATGGCCTGGGGATTTAAGGAGACTTGACCATAGAGAGAGAGCCTGCTGCCCTGACGCTCAGTCCAGCCCACCACCTGTTCCCCTGTGTGCTTATCGCAGTGCTGGGTGCCACTAGGGACTGAAGAGCAGGACACACATCACTCATCCCAGAAGAAGGTCATACTTGAGTTAGTAAAGAAGAAACTAATAGAATGACATTCTCTTTGGCATTTTAATTACATTTGTATGATTCAAACTATACATGCTAAAGAGATTTAGAAAAACAGAGAAGCCAGTATAGGTTATACTAGTTCTCAAAGGTCCCTCAATAAATGAATGAATAAAAAAAACTATAGGACATCTACACAGTGGAATACTACTTGGCTGTAAAAAAGAATGAAGTTTTCCCCTTTGCAATCGTATGGATGAACCTGGAGAACATTATGCTAAGTGAAAGAAGCCAGTCAGAAAAAGACGAATACCATATGATTTCCCTCCTATGTAGAATCTAATGAACAAACTGAACTGACAAGAAAAATGGGGACAGACTCATAGATGGGGCAGGATGACAGCTAAGGTGAGGGTGGCGGTGAGGGAGTGGAGGGAGAGAGCAAAAAGGAAAAAGGACTCATGGACATGAACAACAGTGTGGTGATTGCCGGGGGGAGGAGGTATAAAGGGACTAAAAGTTAATGTAAAAATATACAATAAATATTAAATTTTTAAAAAGTAGTTCTCAAAGAATTGAAATTGTGTCAAAAATACATTATTAAGCACCATCAGTAATGCATACATTTCATATTTTAATATAAATTTTAGCAAGACTGAATTACCACAAATTCTATATGCATGGGAAAGGCTTTTTAACATGTATAAATATATCAAATCACTTTGCAAAATGATGTATTATTAGTATAATATTCTTGATTCAAGGCTGTAAAACTGGTAAGCCATAAATAGCACTCAGTTTAAAATCTCCCTGGCAAATATTAGTCAATAATTAGTAAAAAGCAAGCCATTTATGCATATTTTATATTGATACCTTATTTATCATTGAGGAGAACTTTTCCCGAAACTCACTAAGATAGACAAAAAAAAAGTAAAACTCTATCTGTGAAATAAGCAAACTGCTATAACTTTTGCTTTATACTTTAAAATAGCATGTATAGCATGAATACACTTTTCTAAATTTTTTTCTATCTGTACGAAAGCTCAAAAAAGGCACTTGGAACTAAATTAACTTGTTAATAATTATTTTCTGGGTTGTGAGATTTGGAGCACTATTTTTGCTTTTTAATTTATCCTTTCATATATCCTAAAAATTTTTTAAAACTTACTGATTTTTACAAATAATACAACTCATCATTCTTTAAAGCAATTATCACTGAATATGTGTCTAATTTTATGGTCTTCCAAGACCTTTTAAAAACAAAACATATCACTAGGGAAATAATTTTATAGACAAATCAAATTTTAAAAGTCCAAAGTCCCTTAAACAATGGGCAAATACAATAGTTATAGTTAAAATTGTCGTTTGATCTGTTAAATCTCTGAGGCAGAATAACTACAAGTAAATGTTTCCTAGGAGGTGTTGTGGCAAAATAAGCCGGAGTATACACAAGCCTCAACATTTGCTAGCACCTAACTTAATCAAAGGGTTGGCGATTTGAAAACATAACAGATGAATCCTTCACACTTTCAAGGTCAGTTTCTAAACTTAACATCTTAAATGGGAAATAGCCTCACCCAGGAATTTAAGGTCAGGGTTTATATTAAGCAGGGTAAGTTTTGAAATAAACAAATCTTTAATGCTTTCTTTAAGGGGAGAATTTGACAGGAAAAGTTTAGAAAAACTGGTCCATCTTCTGTAAATATGAGGTTGTCATTTGTGTTTTATATTAAACGAAATATGCCTGTTCTGTATTCAGTGTCTTGTGCCTATTTTACATACTGTGTCCAGGCAAACGTGTTGATATTAGAAAATTCCCTGAGATCCGGAAATTAGAAAATTCCATGAGGTCAGGAAATGTAGCTTTTCTTTATCATAAATCATCTCGCACAAACTCCACTTATCTAAGGGTATGGGGTCTGGTTTGCCCAATTCCTTGATTTTTGGCCCAAACGTGTGATCTGTCATCAACTGTCAATGCCCGTAACTCACATAATGACTTGCAGAGAATGGGACAGTTTACAAAACTGTTACATGCATCATTGCAGATTATTTTCACAAACATCTTATCATTAGGATGAGCAAGTGTTATGACCCTTACTACTTAACAGATATGACTATAACCCAGATTTTCAACATCTCTTTCGTCATCTCTATTAGTGGTTGCTGATAGGCAGCTGTATTTCCACAACAGGTGAACTGTATGAACAAAAGTCAACCAATAATAAGATTCAGCCAATTCTATTCCTGAACTGAAGTCCTAAAAGAAAAAATTGTTCCACTAAATGAGATATCCTAATGATGGTTGAATTTTAAATAAACTAAGGTGTAGGGGAGGGGTGAGGGGGGTGAGTAGACCAGCTGGTCTGCTCAGAGAATTGAAACTGACAAAATTCAAACCAGGGGTAAAAATCCCAAAGAACACCAGCAACAAGACACACTATTTTTGATCTAGCACAGATAGGAAATATTTTTTTCTATTTTAATAAGTCTCATAACAGATTTTTTTTAAAAAAATAAAGCTTCATTTGCTTTAAGTGTTTTATGTCAAGGAACATTTCATAGCACAAATTTTCTAAATTGATGATCAAATTGTAGCACCCATCCATACACCATTAAATGATAAGTATGAAATGATGTGTGAAGTGAAAACCTTCAAGCACAATATAAAATGGCCAGAAATACATAATAAGAAATGCATCATTCCCATAACATCGGAGGAGTTTTATCCTGTATCGACCAGTTTCTTCATTACCAACATGGTCATCTGAGAAAAAAAGAAGTCCTTAATGTACAAAAGATGAAAGCTACCTTTATCTTCTGAGATTCTTAAAAGGTTCATAAGACAAGCAGGCAGACACAGGAGGAATGAAAACTACAAAATTGGGATTAAAAATGATATTTTCTTATGCAATAAGCCAAAGGAATTATAGCAAGGAAACAAAATAGGCCCAAGGAAGTATTAAAAAGCAAAGCTACAAGCAATTCTAGGCTGATACAAAGCAAAAGGAAATGGGACAATCATGGGTATAATGATCTTTTAAAAGATGCGACAAGGTATGCACTGTTAGGAAATGATGACAGAGATGAATCCAGAAAATACCAAAAATAAACGCGCAGGTTCCTCCTGAGAAGGGACAAAAAGAATCTGAGAAGGAAACCTGAAGGCCAGCCACCTGGGAAGCACCGTGGGCTAGGGGCCCCCTGGTTATCACTCACCTGCTCTCCTGTCTTCCAGGGGGCATCACTGTAAGGACGGCCCCTTAGATCAAAAGACATACACATGCCAACTAACCAAGGTTCCCAAGTCGAATCACATATTCCCCAAGGCCAGAAACACACTAGATAGGAAAAATGAAAAGGACAATTCTAATGCTGTTTTTATTTAAAATTTTATTGAAACCCCTTTCACCCCATTTTAGCTCCCTAAGTGAATGAAGATGCATGTGAAGTCCAAGCCAGATGGTGTTCTTTTCAAATTATGTCTTAAATCTCTGAAAATGTGACTTTTGAAACTTGGGAAAGTGAAGCTAGGGCCAGAGAATACTGACAACCTGCTTTACATGCCTGCTTCCTTGTTTATTCATGAGCAGAGCTAGACTGAGAAACCTTTCAGTGAAAGTGGAAAGCATGTCCCCAGCTGTATGATGCTGCGTGTTGATGTCTGTCCTCTCCAGCTCCATGAGAGGTAAGAAACAGTTTAGGTATGATAAGAAAAGAGCTTAGAAAACTCGAGATGAAAAGTTTCCTCTTTCAACTATTTCCTTTCGTTAACCTACTATGGAATCTGCAAGGCCAGTTTTCCTTGCCTATGCCTACAAAGAATTGGCCAAAATAACTATGAGTTTTTTGAATACCACCTTTCATCTGTCTAATTGAAGGTGTGTGTGTATGTGTGTATGATTTTTAATAGAACAATAACAAATGCTTTAAAATTCTTTAATGTCTTTTTAAATCTACTTTTAAGATAAATCCTGTATAAATAAATGACCAGGAAAATTGTCTCATAAATTCAAACCACTAATTTTTAAAGTATTACATAAATTTAGAAAATATTATCTACAGGTATTTCATATTGAATGAATTCTAGAATGTACTTAATTCAAATATTTAGAAAGAGGTTTAACAACTGTTATTCATAACTACTCTGCTGTGAATTTGAGTAGAAAAATATAACTTTGCTTAGTTAGTAACTGGTTGATAGCTGTCCACTCTCTGCAAAAGTGTATCTGAATATCCAGGAGAATAATACCTGAAAAAGAAAAAAAAATTATTAGATACTGGTGAAAAGATTTAGCACAGTAGGCACAAAAGATTCAACATAAGGTTTTTATCTGAGATAATTCTACTATCTCTCTATAATAATAGGATTATCTCAGATAAATTATGCTCTAGTAATGCTTTGTGCACAAGGTTAGAAATTACCAAGAAAGAGACCATCAACTCACAAGACTGTGCTAGATAAAGAACAAAACTTTTAAGGGATATCAAAGCAGTGGCAAAAAATGGATGTCTTCAAATCTAGTGATAGTATTTTATTAAAGCGACTTTGTTTTTATTATGACAAGTGACTGATGTTGCTTTAATGATCTCGACTAATAGATTTTTTTCATTAGACAACACAGTCTATCATTACTAATCAAGTTCTACATTCTGATTATCTTAGAGATTATTCTCAAGTTATGTTTTAATCAGATCTGGTCACCCATAAAAACAAATTTCTGGCAACATAATTCATATTAAAAAACTATTTTAGCCCTGGCTGGTGTGGCTCAGTGGATTGAGTACTGGTCTGCGAATCAAAGGGTCGCCAGTTCGATTCCCAGTCAGGGCATATGCCTGGGTTGTGAGCCAGGTCCCCAGTTAGAGTGTGTGGGAGGCAACTGATCAATGTTTCTCTTGTACATTTATGTCTCTCCCTCTCTTTCTCCCTTCCTTACCCTCTCTTTGAAAATAAATAAAATCTTAAAAAAACAAAATATTTTTTAAAAACTATTTCATAAATGTTTTACAAATATTCTATTACACAAATGTGGGAAATTAATCAATTTCATTTGTTCTAGGTCATCTATAGTACTATAAATTTACATTTATAAATAGAACATTTTATGAAAGATTTAGTATGAAAGTATTAAATATTTTGATTAATGCATTGTGGAATGCTTCATATACCATGGAAAGAATTTACATACATATAAAAATATGTCAAAATTTGGTAGACATTCTAGAATATAATAAATGACTAAAAAAATCTAAAGTGTAATTTAAAAATTTCCAAAACACTTAAAAAAAGTAAGCCTCCTACGTTGTTTTCTCCAGGTAAAACCAAATGTTTGAGACCTACTTTGTCCTTTGTCAGTTATTTTTATCCTCAGATGCTTGACTTAAAAACTCATAATTCATAGTATACTAATTTCTTCCACAATTTGTCAAGTTATAGTGGACAAAACAGAGCTGTATTTTTCTCAGTAGTGAGCTTGTATAGATAGTCATAGTTAAATAGATATATACATATTATACAAACATCAAAAGCTACTTTAAAGAATGTTTTTCCTCTAAAGGCCTCCTACTTGGGAAAAAAATTGTCCCTTCAACAGTGGACCTCTTCAGAGTATTCATATACTGAGGAATTCATAGCTGTTTCTCTACGTTGGTCACAAATTTTAAAGTAGGCTTTGCCTTCCCAGGCCTTACACAGTAAATATGTCAGGCACAAGATAGGTTATTTGTTTATGTAAGTGTCAAGAAGTAGATTTTTTTTTTAAAAGAAGCACCAAACTTTGAAAATTATGCTGCTATGTGGTAGCTGCTAACCACACACTCCTCATAAAAGAACTAAAATGAACCTCTAAAAAAGAACGAAAAATTCCTTTTCTCTGCCTGTCAACCGCTGCTATCCCAACTTACCTCTATATGGCCTTCAAGAATGGTAAGTGGATTAACCTCACTCTAGCCCCCATAGATTTGGGTTATTATACAGTTACCATATCAGAAACATGCCAAAAAGAAGACCATATGCATGCTCCTCTCCCCAAATTAAATGTTTCCTAAAAGCATCTTCCCCTCCCTACTGGACAGAGATCCAGAAGACAAAAGAGTTCCCAAAACAACTCTGGCTGTCAAGTAGACAAGGACTAGAACTTAAGAGTTCTAACACCTAGTCCTAGGTTCCTTCTCTCTCATCATACCAACTACCTTTATTAGAAATTTTTAAAGATTACCAAAGTTGGGAAGCAATAGGAAGTAAATGTTTAGAGTAACAAGAGCAGAGAGAATGTAACCATTGATAATCTGTCTTACAAAGAATAATTAGTTATAAAATAGTTACCAAGTGATAACTAAGAATATGATTGCAAAAACAAAACCACTTTAAGATTATATTTGTCTTTTCATAGAAAGACAATGTTTCAAATATTTCTATAAAACACTATTTTATAGAACCTACTGCTTTAAAGATATATCAGAGACTTGAAAAAGTCAGCAAACCAAAATTCTTCATGATAATTAGCCAATTTTTAAAATAAAATACAAGATGACAGGGTGTTAGAAGTTAAAAATTTACCATGGTATTTTGACAAAGCACCAAATTAGATTCTGTATAACATGAGAGTGTGTTTTTTGTTTTCCCTCATGCCCTGTGTAAAATAGTCTAGAAAGGAGTAGAAAGAATGTTTCTATTCAAGAAAGTACTTTACCATAGGTTAATTTTAATAGGTCATTCCATTTGGGGAGGCCTTTAGTTTGCTTTTTTATATTTTTCTATAATTTTTTATGTTTATAAAATTGTATTAAGAGTTTTTTAAACTTACATAAAATAGCATTCTTCCTAAAGTGACATGTAAATGTGTAAAAATTAATTTTAATTTTCTTGAGAAAAGATATTCATATTTCCTTCATTTAGTGGTTTTACACATATGTTATTTAAATTTTTTGGTGTATCATTATATTTGTAAATTATATATAGTAGATACTCACTTTATGATATACTATTCCTTTGGCATATTTTATGTATATTAATATTTTCAAAGTTAACTTATTGGAACTCTTTTGGTCAAGGAGTTCTCAAAAATCTCCCAAAAGTGCATAAACTTATATCTTTGAAAAGATTTTACTTGCAGAATATATATAAACAGAAGAAAATTATAATCTTAAATAAAATTATTTTTGTGTTTTTAAAATCAGTGTTACCATATGTATGAAAAAGCACTGATATTAAATAGGAAGAATAGTTTTATATAACTTCTATAAGTTTGTACATGTTTTAAAATTGAAAATTATATTCTTCAATATTAGAGAAAGTAAGAAATAAGTGTAGGATTAGAAAAATATGGCTTTTAATTCTGCATGTGTTGTGGGCATTTTTCATATAATGAAAGGAAATTCACCTCCTTGATAACTTTGGGTTTAGTAGTATGGTTCTATTTTAGGCTTATAAGATTTGAGGCTTGGGTTTAATGCTCTTCAAATCAACCTCATTTTAAAAAATTAACCTTGAAAGTAGCTTCCTGCTGCACTACTGTGGAGCACCTGCATATTATAAACAACACTATCTATTTAATTTCCTTTCAAATATAGTTTGTAACTTTTGTTTTGATACTCAACACCTCTTTTCTATTTGTAATACTCCTATTAATATAAATATAAGCTTAATAATAATATGCAGGGAATTATGAAAATCGGAATCTATAGGCCATTTCTAAATCAGGCCCACATTAAAGATTAATTTAACCTGAATTTTGTATTTGGGTAATCTTTCTTAAAGCATGTCTTAAATTAGTACAAAAATGTCTTAAATGACTTTGCAGTTTGACTTGGAAATGTGTTTTTCAATCAGAACATTATTTAATTTGAGGGAAAGTGGTCAAGAGCAGAGGTAAAGGTATACATGATCTCATGTAGTATTTCAAAGTCCACATTTTGACAGAGTAAATATAAAATCCAGATTTGAAAATAGAAAAACCACATTATAATTTTGATCTTCTCAAAGTCTGTTTTTCCCACCTTACTATTTCCTCTGGATAGCAGTTGTTAATACTATTGATGTATTCCTGAAGAAGAGATCCAGGTTCTGCTTTTATCTCTTGAACCTTTTTAAGTCCACCACTTGTTACAAAAAGTCGTCGAGCTTTGCTATCATGTGGCAGCACCTTGAAAAGTGAAGCACATTAAAATGTCAGCTTTTCTTTTCCAAGTTGGATTGTTACTACTGAAAAGCAACAATATATCTGAGGAAATGTAAAGAGTATTTATGTCCAATATACCTGTAACATAATGAACCTAAATTTGCTGATGATTAGAAGTAAAATTCAGTCTTTTTAGAAATGTATGAACTTTTTATGTTGTGCAGATGGAATAAAGGCAATAAACATGAGCAAAAGTGATGGAGATGCACTCACATACATAAAACATAAAGTGGTGTCCCTCCTTTGCTGACACACATTTAAAATCTTTCCACTACCTACAGTGTTAAAGTAACCTCCTTAACCAGACCCAGAAGGCTTTCTGCGACCCAGCAACTAAGTACTTCTCCAGCTTCCTTTTCCACCAACCCCTATCCCAAATGTGCATGCTGGGTCGTTTCTTGCCTTTGCCCGTGCTGTTTCCTACAATGCCCTTCCACCTTCCACGCACCTCCCCTGCCTCCATTTGCTGGGATAACTCTTGTTTATCTTCTAAGATTCATCTCAGGTGTTACCTCCTTTAAGAAACTTTCTCTGGGACTCCCCTACTCTCTTATCACAGGAGGAGTTAGGTACTTGTCTTTTCCTGGAGCATTCTTTTAAACCCCATTAGTGCACTTGCCACACAATATTTTCATGATCAGTGTATGTGTTTGTCACACATAAATGTCATGAAGGCAGGATCTGCACATTTATTCATTCATTTATTTCTCTAGTGCTGGGTGTCTAATAGATGCTCAATTAATGTTTAACAAGTGAATGAACATACTAAGGAGTAGGCAGAAAAAGGAAATTGAGATGTTAAAAAGGTAGATGAAGAATCAGGAAGTAAGGAATCAACAAATCCAAGAGAAGATTTTAAGAAGGAACCAATGAGAACTAAAGAAATTCCCCAGATTAGACAGTAGTTGTTTGCTGAGAGGAAAGAGCCAGTGCAGGTGAAGAAATTAATTGTGCATGGTAACAACTGACCAGACAAGGAAGGGGGTTCACAATGTGGGAATTTCCATTCTCTTCCTTGATTTGATCATTGCTACTATTCCCTGATAGAAGCATCCTTTCTTTCCCCCACCATCCTTACACTTTCTTTGAAACCAGTTCTTTTCCCTTGAACTTCTTGAACTGAAGCCTTCCCTGAATGCCTCAAACGGTATTCACTTATTTCTTCCTTTTAAAAAGGTTTATTGTGAATTCTAGCACATGCAAATATTTCCTAATTGTTTCTTCTGGTCACCCCAGCCAGATTATAATTTCTTGAAGAAGAACTTTGTCTTACTCTTTTTTGTCTATCCCTCAAAACTTTGCAGGGTACATGTAGGCATTTAACAAATATTTAAAACTACAAAAAGGATGTGGCTAATAGAATGTTAATAGATATCATCTGGACAAATAAAAGATTATACTAGTATGTATTTCAGAAAAAAAATGGAATGGTTACAGATATATCAGTTTTAAATATTTTTTTCAGCCTGGAGAGTCTTCATACCTTCTATGTCTGTCCCCAGCCACATTAAACTGTCTTTTTAGCTTCTGCTTTGCCTTCCCATCTCTTTCTAGTGCTCTGGTATCCTTAGATCAAGAACACACAAAATTCTGCCTGGAGCAAATATTCCTGAAGGCACATTTATAAGAGTACATATTATGATGTACTGTATTTTATCTTGGCTATCTAATCTTCCACAAATCTCACTGATTTATTTTTATTTTCTTTAGTCACTGATTTTTAACTCAATTCAGATTAGTGTTCATTTTTATAGCAAGTTCAATAAAACTGGACTATCTCAGTAGCCTAAAAGATTTATAGATTTTATTTATTTATTTTTAGAGAAAGGGAGGGAGGAAGAGGGAGAGAAACAGCAATATGTAGTTGCCTCTTGTGCACCCCCAACTGGGGACCTGTCCCGCAACCCAGGCATGTAACCTGACTGGGAATCGAACCAGCGGCCCTTTGGCTCCCAGGCCAGCACTCAATCCACTGAGCTACACCAGCCAGGACTCTGTAGCCTAAACGATTTAAAATGAAACTTTCAGAAATAATGTCAACTGCTCATTTTTGAGAGCTGATGACTCTGTCTATAGATGATCCACTCAGCTTCTTACTGTACCCTTTTTTTTTAGGTGGTCAGTTTCTTACTTAGCTGTGTTGGGGGGAGGGTTTAATTATTTTCTTTATGTGTTCCTTTGAAAGAAGAAGACAGGACATAGGTGTTGGTATACAGAATTGCATCCTGAGGTAGCTTCAGCAACATAAAACCTGCTATCCCGTGGCTATGGTGTCTGAGGGTCAGCCAAACTGCTGGAGACTATGGAAAGAGTTCAGAGAAGTAAGGACTATTAGCATCTTTCAGATGAGTAACTAAAACTAGACCTATTGAACTGTAAAGACTAGTTTACAACTTATAACAATACAGAGTTTTGTTCATTATTTGCAGAAATAGAGTATATAGATAGTAGTACCTCCTTTATATAGTATTATAACTGAGTAGTCAAATAAATTTGGCCCCCCATTCATTTTTATTAGTTTTTAAATCAGCCTTAATTACTTTCATGTTCTATATATTAAAAACAACTCTGTATGTGAGTGTGTGTGTGTGTGTACTTAACATGTGCTTGCGATTGAGCTAAACTCTTTTCATATACCATCTCATTTAACTTTACAATGACCCTATGAAACAGGTACTCTTCCTATCCCCATTTTATGGGTAACCATACGAAGGTTTAGAGCGGTTAAGACTTTGCTAAAGATATTACAGCTGGTAAATGTGAACCGAGGTACCCCAACTCCACAGCCTGAGATCAGAGCCACTACTGGATACTATTTCCACAGACCCTGATTTCTTAAATCAAATCCCATGGGTACAATTTAACCAGTGCTTGATGGCTTAGGGTCACCGTCCTGGCCACCAATGGCTGTGGCAATGCAATCATTCTCTCACAGCCTTTGTTATCAGTTGTCAGTCCTGCTGGTTGCTGCCCATTGATAGCAGCTTGACCTTCCTGCCCTACTATTCCTAATCTGCAATAATCTAAGAAATATAGGGTCTGGCAGAAGTAAGGTCTGCTTGAGTGTGGTTGGTAGGGTAATAATATGGGTGTAATAATTTAGTTTTAATTTGAGTATTTCACCTAAAATGTCACATGGTGTGCTTGAGTATGATATTGTTACATTACAGAATTACATGCTTACGATTTTGTAAAAAAAAAAAAAAAAATTGTAGTAAGAAAAGGACATTATTTGTGCCGGACCCTGTATTAAACAGCTGCAGTTGTTAAAATTGTTAAAAAAAAAAATAAGTCAATAAACTTAAAATGACTGTTCAAGAGCATCCCCAGTAAGTGCATGAGCTTTGTGGAAAACATTTTTGTGGCTAAGAGACCTTTCTCCTTTTCTTTCTTTCTTTCTTTCTTTCTTTCTTTCTTTCTTTCTTTCTTTCTTTCTTTAACTCATTAAACTTTGTTTTAATGGGTCTCAAAATTCTGTGACATATTTTGGTCAAGTTGTTTCCATTAAAAAGTACTGATTTTAAAAACTAATAACTTAAAAACTGCCACACACAAAAAAACCAAATGGTCTGCAAAACATTCTCCTTTCCTTCTGAAGGTTTTACGATGCATTGTAATCATTAACCAGTCCTTTACTATTAAACTTAAGTGGCCAATTGAGACAAACAGTTCTGAGACCATTCTTCCACCTCTGATTAAGATTGGGGTGGGAGGGGTTGGGGATAATATTCATTTAGCCTTCCGAGCTTTCTGGGCAGACTTGGTGACTTTGCCAGCTCCAGCTGCCTTCTTGTCCACTGCTTTGATGACACCAACAGCAACTGTCTGTCTCATGTCACGAACGGCAAAGCGGCCCAGAGGGGGATAGTCAGAGAAGCTTTCAACACACATGGGCTTGCCAGGAACCATATCAACAATGGCAACATCACCGGATTTCAAAACCTTTGGGCCATCTTCCAGCTTTTTCCCAGAATGATGATCAATCTTCTCCTTCAGCTCAGCAAATTTGCAAGCAATATGAGCTGTGTGACAATCCAGAACAGGTGCATAACCAGCACTGATTTGGCCAGAATGGTTGAGGAGAATCACCTGAGCTGTGAAGCCAGCTGCTTCCATTGGTGGGTCGTTTTTGCTGTCACCAGCCACATTGCCAAGACGAACATCTTTGACAGACACGTTCTTGACGTTGAAGCCCACATTGTCCCCAGGAAGAGCTTCACTCAAAGATTCATGGTGCATTTCAACAGACTTGACTTCAGTTGTAACATTTACCGGAGCAAAGGGGACCACCATGCCAGGTTTGAGAACACCAGTCTCCACTCGGCCCACAGGGCCAGTAGCAGTACCACCAATTTTGTAGATGTCCTGGAGGGGCAGACGCAGGGGCTTGTCAGTTGGACGAGCTGGTGGCAGGATGCAATCCAGAGCTTCAAGCAGTGTGGTTCCACCGGCACTGCCATCTTTGCAGGTGACTTTCCATCCCTTGAACCAAGGCATGTTAGCACTTGGCTCCAGCATGTTGTCGCCATTCCAACCAGAAATTGGCACAAATGCTACTGTGTCAGAGTTGTAGCCAATTTTCTTAATGTCGGCGCTGACTTCTTTAACAATTTCCTCATCTCTCTCCTGGCTGTAGGGAGGTTCAGTGGAATCCATTTTGTTAACACCAACAATAAGCTGTTTCACACCTAGTGTGTAAGCCAGAAGGCCATGCTCACGGGTCTGCCCACTCTTGGAGATCCCTGCTTCAAACTCACCAACGCCAGCAGCAACAATCAGGACAGCACAATCAGCCTGAGATGTGCCTGTAATCATGTTTTTGATAAAGTCTCTGTGTCCTAGGGCATCAACGATGGTCACATAATACTTGCTGGCTTCAAATTTCCCGAGGGAGCTATCAATGGTGATACCACGCTCATGTTCAGCTTTCAGTTTATCCAAGACCCAGGCACACTTGAAGGAGCCCCTCCCCATCTCAGTGGCCTCCTTCTCAAATGTTTCGATGGTTCTCTTGTCGATCCCACCACATTTGTAGATCAGATGGCCAGTAGTGGTAGACTTGCCAGAATCTGCATGTCCAATGACGACAATGTTGATGTGAGTCTTTTCCTTTCCCATTTTGGCTTTGATCTAGTGGTGGTTTTCTTGACACCTGTGTTCTGGTGACAAACTCGTTGCGGAAAAGCTCTCCTTTTCTTTTAAGAATCTTTGCAGAGTTCCCTGATGAGTAAAACTAACAGACACTGGGAAAATTATTAAAAGTTACTTACTGATATTGGTTATCTATATTATGCGGTTTTTATGTGTTGACATACTATTTACCACCTCCCCACAGGAACACTAAAAAAAGACTGTACAGAAATTGTGAGGAAGAAAGAAATGTGAATTTTATTAATCTATGTTTCCATCCCTGTCAATATAATCAGTGAGCTAAGAGAACCCTGCCCCCATCTTGCAGAAAAAACAGACCCAACAGAAAAAAACAAGTTAATTCATTTTCATTTTCTTCCCCTGCTTCCAGGCTAAGAGCACTTCTTACCTTACTGAACTGTCCAACCACATACTTCAGAATATTGGGAGGAGCATCATATAGAAATGGCTCAAGGGCTGGTAAATAGGTGCATTTTTGTAAGATACTCTTTATGGCTTTTTTACTCTGTTGAAATACAAAGCAAAGTATATACCAAAGTAAGCAATCAATGAAATCTTCACAAAAATTAATGAATGTCTCATGTTCCAGGAATTTGAAAATGAAATCAATTTCCTGGTCCAAACAGCAGTTGTTTCATTTTTTAAATGTGTAATGAAAATTTTAATCTACTTACATCCAGTGGATCTAAAATACGTAAATTAGTTGAACATATTATTCATTATGAGTGAACTCAACTTGAAATACTTTATAATAGAGGGTCTTGCTCTGTGATGTTTCTTTCTATTTAATCTTTATTGTATTTTTTCTGTTACCATTTATTTCCCTTATACCTCCGTCCACCCAGCAATGACAACAGTAGTTTTATTTTTTTAAATAGAAAAAACTCCTTTTATCTTTCATTCATTTTATCATAAATACTCTGCCAGTTGTCTTTGTGTCAAATTTTAAAATGTAGAGTGTATTATAGAGCTCTTAAAATACCTATGAAGAAGTTGAAATTATAAATCATAAAGCTCTAGACTGAAAATTAATATATATTACATTTTATTAGTGTAAAAATTTGTATAGATGAAACTATGAGATAGCTAATATCCTATTCCTTCTAATCAACAAATATGAGAAAATATATAGTTTACTGTAGAAAGCCATTATCAGGCATTTTATGTTCTCCAAAAGGCTTCATGGCTTACAGGTATGTAGTCAGAAATATTCTACTGTGTGCACTACTCAGTGAGCATTTGTAGATACGCTGCTATAGATCATGGGTAGCAACTGCCCCACTCACAGATAGAAGCAAAAGAGAATCTATACAAGTATAGAGGAAAGCTCAACAATAGTGAGTGTATCACCCATGAACCAAAGGATGGGTACCCACAGGTACCTTTCCCATTCTCCCCCCATTACTCTGTATTTCATGGTGACACCATGCGGCCCCCTGTCAAAAGTGTAGCTGAAGAAGGGCTCTAATGTGACTGTAGCTCATCCCTGCAGCCAGCTCTAAGGCCATGGCTGGTTGTGATTCTGTTTCTTTGTGTTAGAGCCTGACCCCTTCACTTTGGAAGGCTTCATGACTGGGTTCATCTACAGCTGTTTTGCACTAGAAATCCACATCTGCTTCTCTGTATGTGGTTTGTGCTTCAGTACATCCTGATAGCCTTTCCTCCGTCACCTGTTCTCTCTCTGAGGTTTTAGCTGACCTGGTCTTCTGGGATCTTGCTATTCAACATTTAGCAATGCTCTTGAATGTCAAGGAGCATTTTGATTCTCACATCATGAATTTTATGGTTGATAAATGGATTCTGCAAAAGTATTCATCACATTTGTGCTCTCTAATTAAGGAACTCTTGAATTTATGGTTTCCCAGAGACCTAGGCTAAGCAGTCTTGTAATCTCTTCTCTTGACACCCTTGTCCTCAAATATTGGTTTATAAACTAGATTAAATAAAACAACAAATTAAGTAATGGAACCCAAATTTCGCCTACAAGTAGTATAACATAAGTTGGGATTAAACTCTCAATTCTCAACACACCTAGTTATACCTTTGTGAACCATCTTAGGGCCATGGTGACTTAACAGGTCAACAAATTTTATTTAACTGGTGAAATATCCTACTAACAGTATAACAGAGATCACATTCACCATATCATGGAGACAACCTTACTCTAACAGTTTCAAATTGGTGATGTACCCTTAAGTTATTAATGAAGAACCCTAGAGGATTAAAACTTCTAATGACCCTAGAAGTTCACTGAGCTTTACTATCCTTTGCCAAAAATATACTAGACTTATGACTATATGAACATATATACCAGTACTTCTAGATAGGAATATATGTCCTGAGTAATAATCAGCTGTATTGTCCAGCATGAAAGGAATATTAACATATTAATTAAGATTTTGTTTACCTCTCAATTTCTGAGCTTAAGATTTATAACAATTTTATTGAAATACAACTTACATACCGTAAATTCATTCATTCATTTTTCAGTGCACAATTTAATTGATTTTTAGTGAATTTACAGAGTTGTGCACCATCAACACAATCTAATTTTAGAACATTTTCATCATCCTAGAAAGGAACTTCATGCCCATTTATAGTCACTCCTAATTCCCTCACCCCACTTATCCCCACCATCTCTAGGCAACTACTAATCTAATTTCTGTCTATAAATTCAACTTTTCTGGACAATTCATATAAATGAGATCATATGATATAAGAACTTTTGAGTCTGGCCGTCTTCACTAAGTACAATATTTTTGAGGTTCATCCATCTTATAGCATCTACTAGTACTTCATTCCTTTTATTGTTAATAGTATTCCATTATACATATTTATCACATTTTGGGTTTTTTTGTAGTGTTCTTTTTTTTTAATTTTTAAATCATATTTATTCTATTACAGTTGTCTCAAATTTTCTCCTTTTATCCCCCCTCCCCCCATCCCACCCGCACTCCCACCCCCCACTCCCACAGTCAATTCCCCCTCTGTTGTCCATGTACCTCGGTCATTCATACATGTTCTTCATCTAGTCCCTTCCCCTTATTTCCACCATTGTCCTCTTTCCCCATCCCCTCTGGTGACTTTCAGTCTGCTCCATGTTTCCATGCCTGTGGTTTATTTTGTTTGTTAGTTTATTTTGTTGAATAGATTTCACTTATAGATGAGATCATATGGTATTTGTCTCTCACCAACTGGCTTATTTCACTTAGCATAATATTCTCCAGTTCCATCCATGTTGTCGCAACAGGTGGGAGATTCATCTCTCTCTCTCTTTATTTCTTAAATGCAGATTGATTTTATTTATTTTTTTAAATGTCAAAGTTAATTATAAAATATTAAAAAAATTTAAAACCATTATAAAGTCTCAGCAATTAAACCAACATGACACCAATGCAGAAATAATCAAGTAGATTAATGAAATATAATGAGCATTTTAGAGACAAACATGTATATCTGTCTAACAATATAATACATGATTAAGTTGATATTTCAAGTCAATGGGTAAAATAAGGCTTATTCAACAAATAAGGTGCATGGACCACTATTACTTGAAATAAAAAAAATATAGAGCCCTATTTCACACAATATACAAGAATATTCAGGTGAGTATTCAATATCATATATCTACAATATCTACATATTCAAAAATCAATATGTAGAATCTAAGCAGTTTTAGGAGATAATACACACTAATATATTTCTTACCCTGAAGTAAAATATTCAAACCCAGAAGCTATAAAGTAAAATAATGACAATATGACTATGAAACGTTTAAGACTGTACAGTAATATACATATAAAAAAGTTAAAGGACAAGTAATAGAATGGGAAAGTATTTGCCACACATCTAAAAAAGGGTTAATAGTTTTGGGGGTTTTTTTTAGGGAAAAAAATTCTACAAACCATGAATTGATAAATGGATAAAGAATACCAAAAAGTCATTTAAAGCTTTTTAAAAATAATAGAAATAGGCAAGAAATATACAAAAACAGGTTTAGTTTCAACACATAATAAAGGAACAATTAAAATAACACATCATTGTCACAATCAGATTAATACATATTAAAAATATTGGTAATATCAAGTAGTGGCAACTGTGAAAGGAACTGGGTATTCATAGACTCTTTTTCTTCATCTTAAAGCAGTCCCTTTAGCATATTTTGCAATGCTAGTTTGGTGAAGGTGTATTCTTTTAACCTTCTTTTGTCTGGGAAACTCCTTATTTCACCTTCCATTTTAATTGAGAGCCTTGCTGGGTAGAGCAATCTTGGCTGCAGGCCTTTGCTTTTCATGACTTGGAATATTTCTTGCCACTCTCTTCTGGCTTGCAGTGTTTCTGTTGAGAAGTCAGCTGCTGGTGGTATCAGGGATCCCTTATATGTTATTACCTCTTTCTCTCTTGCTTGCTTTAGGATTCTTTGTTTGTCTTTGATATTTGCCATTTTAATCATGATGTGTCTTGGAGTGGGCCTTATTGGGTTCCTCTTGAATGGGACCTTCTGTACTTCCTGGACTTGTGTGACTTTTTCTCTCCTCCAATTAGGGAAGTTTTCCATCATGACTTTTTCAAACAGGTTCTCTATCCCTTCCTCCTCTTCTTCTCCTTCTGGTATCGCTATTATATGGATATTATTATGTTTCAGGTTGTCCTGCATTTCCCTAAATGCCTCTTCATTCTTTTTGAGTCTTTTCTCATTTTCTTGCTCTCTCTGGGAGCTTTTTTCTACCTTGTCCTCTAGCTCGCTGATTCGGTCCTCGGCTTTATCCAGCCTGCTTTTGATTCCTTCTGCTGTGTTCTTCAATTCAGAAATTGTATTCTTCATTTCCTCTTGTCTCTTACTGATAGTTTCTATGTCCCTTTTCATGCTGATATAGTTTGCAGCAAGTAGCTCGTAGTTTCTCTTTAGTTTTTTGTAATTTTCTGTGAGCTCATTGAGCTTCCTTAGAACCGTTGTTTGGAACTTAATACCTGATAGTTTACTTGCTTCTATTTCATTTAGTTCTCTTTCTGGGGATTCCTCCTTTCCCTTCAAATGGGGGGTATTTCTTTGTATTCCCATTATTTGCGAGACTCTTCTTTTTTGCTTCTGCTTCTTCAATTGATCTGTTTTGTTTTCCTGACTTTGTGGTGTGAACTTCTATGGTAGGAGACCACTGTTTTTACTTTTGGATCTGCCTCTGATGATGTCAGATGATGTCCCTGCCTGACCTTAGGCAGTCTGTTCAAGACTTCCAGGAATTTACTGTCTGTGGCTGTCTCCTTCAGCTGTTAATCAAGTCACTCTGCACTTAGCAGGCCAGCTCAGACAGCTCAGGGTAGGGCAGAGTCCCTCCTGGAGCTGGGGTTATTGGGTCCTCTGATGCTGCTGCCTCTCAGAGGAGTGGTCTCTGCCTGAGCAAGATGGCTGCTGCCACATGGGGGATGAGTCAGCACCGAGATCCCACTGGCCTCTCTCTCAGTTCTCTCCCAAAGCCTCCTTCCCAGTCTCTCCTCAGGCATCTCCAACCCACTCTGCCCTGCCTTTGCTGGAGACCAGGGTAAGTGGCCGCAAATAAAAATTTATGCGTTGGCACTTTAAATGGTTCTTTGCATCTCCAGCCGCCTGTCTCCAGCAGAGAGCTGACTGTTTTCTGTGTACTTTTTGGGCTCTGGTGCTATAGGCTGGAGATCCCTGATTTTGGTTTAGACGCCGCTCTTCTCAGGAGGATCCAACTGGCCCTTTCAATATCCTCTGGTGCTGATGCCCACGGGCACTCTGCCCACCTTCTGAGTCTCTACTGCACTCTTTACCAGTTAGGTTGTGTTAAAGCTGATTCTTCTGTCTCTGAGATTATAAGGCTCATCTTGCTCAACTGAACAATAGTTCAGTTGTTTGTTCCAGGTGATTTCTCCACAATTTAGTTGTAATTCCAGGTTGTTCCTGGGAGGAGGTGAGTGTGACTTCCACTCACTCCTCCGCCATCTTGATTCGCTGGAAGCAATGTTTTTTGTTAGGCTTAAAATTCAGAGTTTTGTTACCAAATAATAAGATATTAGCTTTGAAGAAGCTTAATCTAAATTCTTTGACTAAACGTAAATATCAGAGGCAGCCCAATCTAGCACATGATTTAGTTTCTTTTATACTGATTATAAGGCATCAATTAAAAATATGCTGTTATTTTAAGAGCAAAATCACAATTATACAGCTAAAAAGGGGAAATTTAAGCAAATACAACTTGTGTCTTGTTGCTGTTCTCTAGAGTAGAGACTTCCTTATGGTATTCCCTGAAGCTCTGAGTTCTTTGCACCCTCCGTCTTACTACATCAGGTTCTATTTATGGCTAATTTAAGGTTTCAATAGATTATAAACAGTGCATTTAATAGAAAGAAGACATTAATTCTCATCCTTGGCACTTCTAATTATCTCTGGAGTCGTTCTCCATTCACAGTTGACAACAGATGTCAGACTGGTTTTCTGCTTCTTAGTAGCTATCTCCTATATCCCATCTCTGTTTTCTTTCCATTTCTTGGTGGGAAAGACAGTCGATGTATTCTTGGAGACGACGTCCTCATGTTGGTCAGTTGCAATCGATAGAGGCTTCCCTTACAAACAAGTCTACCACAGTCATTCTTCATAACTCATGCTGTGAAATAAGCCAGGCAGTGAAAGACAAATGCTATATGATCTCACCTATGAGTGAAACCTAATCAACAAAACAAAAAACAAGCAAAATAGAACCAGAGACATGTAAATAAAGAACAAACTGACAGTGACCAGAGGGGAGGGAGGAGAGGGATCACGGGGGAAAGAAGGGAAGGGTCTAGTAAAGGAACATGTATAAAGGACCCCTGGTAATGGACAACAGGGTGGGGATTGACTGGGGGAGTGGAGCGTGGGCAGGGCAGGGGAGAACAATGCGGGGGGTGGGGGGAATCGGGACAACTATAATTGAACAACAATAAAAAAAGTTACATGTTTTCCTAATATGGTAGTATGATGGAAACATTTTCTTTCTTTGAAATTCTATAATTATTAATCAACCCATCCAACTTTATATTCATGTTTTGTGAATCATTTTAGTAGCTAGCAATACTTTTTTCAAAAAGTTGGATTTTTAAAAATGCATATTTTAAAATGTTTAATTTAGTGGATACCATGGGCTTTTTTTTTTTTTTTTTAAGGAACAGACTTAAGACATATAATTAAAAGACCAGGCTGAGTTGGAGTTAGGAAAGGTGGATCATGGCTTCAGGAAAACCTCCTACCCTGTTACAGTACACATCTGAAAGCACCTTAAATTCATCTGGACTCCATTTTTTGATGTAAGATGGACTAAAGTTCTCTGCAGCCAATTCTAATTCCAAAATTCTATTATTCTTCAATTCCTATTCTATAAGAAAAGTCAGCAGGAATGCAGAAGGCAACAACCAGATATTCTTTTTACAAACAACGTTGCACCTGCAGGAAACTTTCTTTAAAATACATCACTGATTTTTAAAGACAAGGGTAGCCCATTTTCAAAGAAGAGTCGCCTCAGTTTTTCTAATAAATTTGTTATTTCTCAACTCATAAAAGCAGAATTGTCCGAAACCATTTTAAATGACATGTTTTTAAGAATGAGTCAAAATCTCACAAATCTTCACGAAACAGTAAGAAGTAAGCACTTACTTTTACTTGAAGATCCTCAGAGCTTTCTGGTGACATGTACAAGGAAAGCAGAACTGGCAAAGTGTTTGTGACTGCGACAGCGCGCGCGTGCTCCGGAGTGTGTCTCCCAACCTGTCCCAAGGCCCAGGCGGCAGCAGCCTTAATGTGATCTTCTGGTTCTTCTGACAGGCAGACTGACAACCGCGGCACGCCCTGCAGCGTTGGCCAAGAGAGCAAGCAGGCGGCATGACTCTAGAGCAGGGCGAGGGAGTCTTCCATGTCTCTCAACATTAAAAGAAATCATTTTGGCCTTGACCCTTTTTTCCCTAGATGGTTCAATAAACGAGCACATCACAGGGGCTGTCACTTTTCAAGTCAGTAAAATGGCTACCACTACTTTCCCTTAATTATCTGTTACAATCCAGCTAAACCAAGACTGTCTCTGCTAGCATTTACTCCCCAAATAAAGAGGCATTTAATCAAACCACAGATGCCACAGATTAGTACACAGGCAAAACCAAGTTCCACTGTGACAAATTTAAAATGCTTAGATTTTAAAACTTTTTACTTTCCTTTGTTAAAAAAAGTTAATTTAGAATCCTTTAAAATTTCCTTTTCACTAGTTATAATAAATCTATCAACAAAACAACTACTATAGATTTGAAATCCAATGAATAATATGAGCCAGAATTCTATTTAAGTAACTTTTAGATTAAATGTATTCCCTAAAACCTTTCCTGAAATAGTAAATAAATTTTCATTAATTTTGGTCACCTTTTAAATGATAGTTTTGCCCATAGTTTAACTTGATTGAATGTCAAAGTAGAAATAATGACTTTTGTTACACAAATAGCACATGCTTATATTTTGCACTTTAGGATTCAGTTTTATCTAAATAATCAAAACAGAATTAACTAAAGAACCCCAAAGACATCACAGTTTCTATATCTAAGGAAGTACCAAATAGCCAAATCAAATTATAATTCCAGATTCTGTATAGGAATAATTTTCCAACTAATTTAAGACTATAATAATTATCACCTTAAATTTAGTATCACAAAAGTGAATTTCACATTGTCATGCTACCATAGCAAAGGCCAAATGATCATATGTACTTTTTTCCCCTGTACCTTTAAGTATGGTTATTAAGACCAGCTTCCTGAAGACACCTACGATATTTCTTCATTGACTTCTTTTTTCTCAAACTAAAAATGTTTGTCTCCCAATACAAAAGATCAGACCTGTCTTCAGAATGAGGCAACTTTCGAGAAAGTCCACACTCTGAAACTTTTAAGACTAAAAGAAGCAGGAGGAAAAAGAGTCGGCCTCCTCCACCCTGTCCTCCAAACTCTGACTTACTGGCCTCAGTTGTAATGAACAGCAAATGAAGTAGGAAATATGAATGTGCTTTGAAAATTATAAAGCATTAATTTAAATGTGAAGTACTGTTTGCTATTAGTCCTTGCAGTATTACGTAGGAAGAAGAAAGAACGTCGCAGTACTGTGGGGTTGCCTCACACTGCGGCTGCCACCTTCATCTTCAACTAACTGAGATACGGTCGGGTGGGAGCGGCCAGCAGCAACCCTAGACCACAGGAAGGGAGCGCCTCCTGCTTAATTTGGCGGGGAAATATGGGAAGCAAAAGCAATTGCTGCTTCTTTCATCATTTTTCCTACGCATAAGCTTTCTGACCCCCTGCAAATGAACCAAGTAACATCCCAATAATATCTCCAGAGTGACCCTTCAGAAAGCAGCGCTACTGTTCTAGTCTCTATCATAGTCTTTGGTAACAGAAGAACAAAAAGAAATGTGTAGGAGAAAGAAATGAGCAAAGCAAAGAATTATCAAGGAATAGGTAGAAAATAAAGATTTGAGGCTCCCTTTTATTCTGAGGATTAGCAAGGGTTTAAAAAAAAAAACTCCACACTTCTGTTTAACATATAGCAGCAGGTTTTCCTGCTGATAAGAAACCCATACCCTAGAGGATTGCCAAAAACACTGTAAGCACATAGCCTCCGACTATTCTTCAGAAGATGGATATTTATTTGTTCAACCAATATTTTTGAGTACCTAATATGTGTCAGGGCTACACTGTGTGGTGGGTTAATACCAAGTTCTAAATTCAGATGAGGCCAAATTCCTAAAGCAAGGACACAAAACGCTGCTATCTGACATGTGCTCTGAATTGCCCCCATCTAAAAGGAGAGATGAGTTCATGAAAGCTGATGGAAAGCAGATAAAAAGGGATGTCCTAGCCATCGTCCTCTCCTAACCAGTGATGGGAAAGGGGAGAATGACTACTGGGAATGTAATGTCTTTAATCACGGTATGCTTTACATTGTGTAAATATATACAGCCCATCCTTCAAGACAAAATACACTGAAAAATACACCAGGGGACTGATGGTCTCTCCCACGCTGGAACTATAATCCTAATACTCAGGGGTATTGATATTTTGTAGATATTAAATGCTGAGTAAAACTTTAAACTGCCTACAAAATAAACCTTACTCTAGTCTTGCTTTCAGAACCTTACTAATCAGCCATGAAAACAAGCTGAAGAATTCTTCAGGTTCCTTTCACTCTGGTCAGTTATAATGTATAATCTATGGCAAGAGTATTACTGTGATTCTTAGAATATCTCACTACAATAACTAGAAGAAAATCAAGCAAGAGCAAACCTTGGAAATGATCACTGCCATTGCCAAGTTCTCAGAATGGGCCGCCACGTAACCAAGCATCATGATGCCAGGCAGCCTTATGCTTCCTTTGCAAGACCCAATGCAATCGACGATGGCAGCAACTCCTCCCGTGTTGACTATCAACTGTGACAGCTAAGAGAAAGGAAGGAGAGCTAGGTAAGTGGGACCAGAAAGCATTAAATAATCTTTAACTACTACTTTAGTATTGCCAAACATTTTTACTTAGGACCTAAAAACGTCTCGTAAAATTTGAAATATGATTTAGTGAACTTACTTATTAAAGAAATATACAGGTATAATAATCCTATTTTATTTTATTTGCTAAAAGATTTTACTTATTTTTTTAGAGAGAAAGGAAGGGAGGGAAACAAGGGTCAGTTGCCCTGAAACCCAGGCATGTGTCCTGACTGGGACTTGAACCTGCAATCTTTTGATTCACAGGCAGCACTCAACCCACTGAACCACACCAGTCAGGGCATAATAATACTATTGTAAATATACAAGTATATTCACTGTACAACGCTTACTCTGTGCTTCAATTTTTCATGCATTTATGGCACAACTTTTATCCCTATTCAAATGGTTGTCAAAATTCCTCACCTAGACACTAAGCCTAGAGATAGTTCATAACTAGCTAACTACTGAGAGCCCCAATCACAATGTGTGAGTATGAAGCAGGTTAATCACTGAATGCTGAGTGACAATGTCAGACCTGAATTATTCTAGCCTAATTATCCCCTCTTTGCAAACTATGATTACTAGCTGATTACATTCAATCATAAAAATTTCAACCAAGTGAAGATGTTAGGTGAAATAATGAGGACTTTAAGCTTTAGTAAAATGAAATTGATTAGTCAAAACACACACAGAAAAAGACACAACTTCAGAATCCACCCAGGCTTGCTTCACCTCTATGCCTTTGGCATCTAAGAACTCAGAGCAGGAACCACCATGTAAGAGCAGCTACTAGAGTAGTTCCACTGGGCTGGGGGCGGGCAGCCTGGTGGTCTCTCCCACCCTAGAACTGTACAGTCTCTCACTACTCTCAGTTGACCTGAAATGACAAGAATGGTGAAGGACACTGGCCCTCCAATCTAGAAATGTAAAAACAGGAAATGATTAAAAACTGAGGTTTCTGTCTCAAACTCCATTGATATAACCCTGTGGGGTTCTCACCAAGGTGCTCTTTTGTCCTTTGGGAAACATTTGGCAATGTATACGGAGACACTTTTGATGCTCATAGTGTGGGAAGGCATGCTACTGGCAGGGGCCAAGGATGCTGCTAAATATCCAGCCTGCCGTGTACAGGACAGTCTCCCACAACAAAGGATAATCCAGTGCACAATGTCCGCAGTGCTCAGGATGAGAAACCCTGACCTGACCGAACCATGAGGCACAGCATAGCGGTCTTTTACACAAATTGATGTTTTACTTAACAGTGAAAAGTGGCTAATATTGTTGTAGTTAAAGCTGTTTTGTTTGTTTTGTTTTTACCTCAGGTGTATGTTTTGCAATCTCTCTAATTAAAGTGGAAGCATTTTTCTTCACGTATTCGTCTTTGTCCTTCAGGCAGGTAAGTACAACTGGAAAAATCTCCGCCTCAACCACCATTTCTGCCAGATCCACAGAATGTTTTGCAATCTGACTGAGAGCGGAAAGGACTTGACGCTGTCAAGCAAAAACCAAAATAGAACAAAACATTAAGCAGAGTCCACTCTAGAGTTCAGATATAACTTAAAAAGCTTTACACATAGCCGAATTCCTTTATAAAAAGAAAAAACAATTATGTACCCAGCATAACCTAAGATTTCTGTGTCTTGAGACATTCACTTCCTAGTCTTATATTTAAATACTCAATTTCTTAAATCCCCTAATTTCCAAATTAAATGTCTTAGTTCTCTGTGGATTGTTTAAATCCCTATCATAGGTGATCAAAGAATATGACCTTTGGATAAATACTATTCCTTAACTATGTAACACTTAAATTGTTAATTTATAATACATGTGATAATATAGTACAAAAAAGTTCAGGCAGAACTAACATTTTTGGCATGATGCTGTTAACATTTCAAAGAATTTTTCATTGCTTAGTTAACATTAAAAAATTTTTAAACCTTATGGGATTTTACTATTAGCATATAAAATTATAATTGGTGATTATTAACAGAAAATTAGATTTTAGAAAGTTATAAAAAGAAATATAAATATGATAATTTTCATAAGAAACTTAAATATAACAGTGGTGAGTTAGAAAAACTTTTAAGTGCCTTCCTACCCTCAGATTCAATCACTATGTAATTCCTTATTCTAGTGATTAATATTAATAGTGATACTACTTCTAATTTTTAGCATGGCACATATTTTCCCAGTCATGTCTTTCTCATCTATTCCTTACAGCATAATTTTCACATATTAAAAGAAAGAAGAAGAAGGGACTAAACAAAGAACATGTATGAATGACCCAGGGACATGGACAGCAGAGTGGGAACTGGCTGTGGGAGAGGGGGTGGGGTGGGATGGGTGGAGGAGGGCAAAGGGGGAAAAATCAAGACAACTGTAATAGAATAAACATGATTTAAAAATGAAAAATTAACAAAAGAAAAAGAAAAAGAAGAGACCAAATACATAATATAGTCACATTTTCGATGATAATTTAAGTTATTTTGAACGTATAATATTAATCTATACACATTTCCATTTTTCTTAGATTAACAGAAGTCTGATTTTTTTTAAACTTATTTTTAAGTACCTTCAATTTAGCATTAGGGTTCAGAATCATCCGGGCTAAGTGAGCAATAGCTCCTGCATCCACTACTGTCTGTGCTAACTCTGGAGAATGCTCTGAAATATCGCTGAGGACTGAAGCAGCAATCCTTTTCAAAGCAATTTCTGGCTCCTGGATACAGAGTATTAATAGAGGAACTGCTCCTGCATCCACCACAGCTTGTGCCAGCTCTGCGGGTCCAAGAAGAATAATTGTGTATGAATCACTGACCCTTGTGCAAGCAAACCATTTTTTTACCCTGACAGAGGAAAGAAAGAAAAGAGGAGGGTGTACTCCATTGTCTCAATATCTGCATTTCAAATCAGCATTCCTGGTTTCATAAACCATGTGGACCAATCCAGAGCTGAAAGGCATACAGGTCAATAGATGGACCTCCATTTACATGGACACATTTGAAGTAAATTAGTCTGAAATGGCTTGTTGTTCTTTATTTTATTTTTTTTACAAGAGTAAGCAGATGTCAGCTGTTTAAGCTCTGACAATTCTGCACTTCTCAATCGGCAAGCATTTTATGCATGGTTTACAATAACAGAGAAAATTAAAGTACCAAAAATGGACCAACCACACTAATTACACAGTATTTTATACTATTTACATGAGTAAACATTAACATGAATGTTGCGCTAATAATGTTGATTTTTAAATTCCATTCATCTTACAGTATCAGTATTTTTTAAATATTTTTAAAACTTTATACAAAATTAAAAGGTACATTATATTGTATATATAAAAAACACTTTTAAAATGAGATCTCCAGCTAAACAGCATCCTTTAATATATAGAAATGTGAATGTTTACTTAGATAAAGGTATAACTTTATCGTAATCATTTTACTTGTCAGGAAGAAACATCTTTTGAATACACAGGCCAATTTACTTGGGTGTCCAAGAATAACAGCTATAAAAGTAACACATTTTAAATTATAGGTAACGAGAGATGGTCATGCAGACCCAAACAGGCTCCAGCACAAATAACGCCCCTTTTTATTACAAAATCATAAGCATGTAATTCTGTAATGTAACAATATCACACTCAAGCACATTTTATGACATTTTAGGTGAAATGTTCAACTTGCTGTCCATCTTGTGGGAGACACTCACATACCCTACCAACCACCCACAAGCAGGCCTTACTTCTGCCAGACCCTGTATAATATACATGTTAAAATAAATGCCTTTTAAGCAGCCTAAAGCACAATACATAGTTTCAAGATTCTATTTTCCATTTCTCTGGCTTTCCTTTCATCCTGTCCTCACCCAGAGGCTCTGGGACCTCAGCGGCCATGAGGCCAGGGAGCAGCCCAGGCCACGGGGGCCAGGTCCCAAAAGCAAGGACCGGAGCTCAGGGATGTGTAGCTGGCACAGCCAGCCTCACACAACTTCCAGAGGGAGGGGCAGGGGCTCAGGTTCAGGCAAAGGTATTATTTGTCATATCAAAAAACCTCAAATATTTGGCAGGAATTCAGAGGTTAAATAATGGCAGTTTACTTAATGGATTCTCTCTCATTCAACAGGCAGCTGGGAGTGGCTGGGGAGACCCCAGCCTACTGGAGTGGGATGCGGATGTCTTCCAGATCTTCTGTGGAAACCTGGGCACGGGGTGGAGGATGACATCTTGGCCTGTGTCTTCAGCCATTTCCCATCCTTCCTTGAGGCTAAGACCAGGGACTATGGCTTCCCTAGCTTTAAGGATCCCAGTGACTATGTATGTGCCATGCATGAGATGAATGAAAAACCCCATCAAGCTGCACAAGAGCATGTGGAAGGACTAGAACCTAGGTGTGGTGGGCAAGAAGCAGAAGCAGGAGGAGAAGTTGGGCCTGAGATGTGGTCGGCACCTGCTCCCACCTTGCCAGGGCGCTTTACGAAGTCTAAAGAGCGACACATAATTCTCTTTGGAAAACCCTCAAGTATCTACCCAGCCATTGTCCCCAAAACCAGTTTTAAAAATACTTTTGTTCATTTCCAAATTAAAAAGAATAATAATAATAATGCTACAATAACATTTGCATGGATACAGTTTTTCATTGTGGAATTTTTTCTCTATGATTCCCAAAGCAGGCTTTTTAGAGGAATCATAAACTATTTTGTGACTTAGATTAGTTTTACCAAACAACTTCCCACAAGTTTATACAATTTGTAGTGCCTCCACCAAAGGGCATAAACATTATCAAGTCCATTCTAACCTTCAGCATTAATACTAATGCCGTTCATTTTTTGAATATTGACCATGTGCCAACCACTGTTCTAAGTGCTTCACATGTATTATCTCATCATCCTCATAACAAACCTCTGAGGGAGCTCCTTTGCACATCCTACAGCAAATCCTTGAGGTAACTCTGAAGGAGTTACCCTCTTTTTGCAGATGAGGAAGTTAAGGTTCAAAAAGTTTAAAAGTCATATCCAATGTCACATAGCAACTAAGTGGTAGAACTTAGACTCAAAGTCTGTCCTAACGCCACAGTGCTCTTAACCACTTGGTTCTATTTCTGCTTTACCCTTTTGTCCTCCAAATAATAATAGGTAGGGAAAGATCTCTGCACTAATATTTTAATATACAGTTCTTGATTACTAGCAAAGTTGATCATTTTTACATGTGTTTGTTAAACTGCATATTCTTGTTGTATTATTTGTTCATATGATAGCAGTTTTGTTCCTTATGTATTTTTAACTAGTCAGGTGTGTCAGCACGACCTCCACAAAAGAGGTCTAGGCACCGAATTGTCAGTTTCTAAGAGAAGGTGGTCTTTCTCTTTCTTCTTCCTGCCCCGTACAGGCTGAGTATAAACATGTTCTAGAAAGTCATGTCCATGTCTTTTTAACATTACTCATTCATATGATACAGCCCCTCGCGGATTTGGAATACCCTGTATTATGAGTAAGGGTAATATATAAAGACTCAATGTACTCTGAAGGGCGACAAACTAAAATCATTTCTTAAATGAGAATTTGGGAATTTAAGAATTTGAGAACTAATATCTCATGTGCCCCATTTCCTGCCGCACCCCACTTTCCACCTACAAATTTCTCTTCTGCTAAGATAAAGATTGGAATGTAGAGATTGTGTGTGTGTGTATGTGTTTGAATTTGTAATTCAAACAACTTAGGCACCATTCAAAGCTTATCTCCCATAATGTATAGAAACATCATTAAAAGCTCACCTATGCTTTACTAAGCGAAGACAGATTTGCCTAATAAATATAAACTTTAATAATTCTATTTTAATATATGCTCCATTACCTGCATTATGTCTTGCAATATTTCCAAGTGCCCAGGTTACAGCCTCTTTAACTCCAGGGTCAAAATCTTCCAAGCATATCACCAGCGTATCCAGTGCACCACAATCAACTATTGCCTGAGCTAGTTGAGGAGAGTGTTTACCAACTGCTCGTAACACAAAGGCAGCTGCTTTCTTGTAGAAACGCTGCAAGGATAAAATAGATAAAATTCAAAGTGAGTGAGCATTATATAACAAAAAGTTAAAAAAGACCAAAACCAATGTAAAAATAACATTAATATAATAAAGCTCAACAGCTTTTGAATAGAAAAGAAAAACATCCTGCAATATCATTTTTATTTTTTGGTATTTCTATTGCTTTTGTTCTGCAACTAAATAAAAACAATGTCTTATATTACATTTCAAATATTTTATTCTAAAACATGCCTTTATAAAATAAAATATTTCTTGCAAAATGTATATCCTACAAATTCATAAAATAATGGGATTTTTATGTATCTGCATTAAAGTAAAGGCATTTGACCCACAGGAACTCGGATTGTCAGCATGTACAACTAACCTGTCAACTGACAAACTTGTTTCCTTTACTTGCCCTCAGTCTCTAAGCCTGGCAGGCCTTTCATGGTCTCAGCTAATCTGTCTGGTGTTCTAAGCCATCCTGAAATACAACCATGTTTCGAGATGCATTTATCAATCCCTGAATAAACATAAAGGCAAAACATTCATGATACATTTTAAAATTTTTACTGGCAAAGAAACTAGCCAAACAATGGGATGCGATATATATCCCATTTTAGAAGTACTTTTTTAAAAAGGTAAATACAAATGGCTTACCATTATGTGAATGTTAAGTAATGTTTCACATTTATAATATTTTCTACATATAAATTTTATTAGATTAAGAAATAAAGACTGAAACATGACTTTCTTCATATTGCTAAGAAAATTAAATGTTTAGAAAGTATTTAGCTGTGACTCTCCCTGTGGTTTTATGGTTCACCTAATGACACAGTAATGGTCTCCTTACTCTTTCTTCTTTTTATTAATAGAACCCAGTTAGTCCCATATTTTAGATCATGTTTCTATTTTCATGCAGTGACTACTAAAAAGCAACCAGAAGTCATAGCACCTGCTTCAAAAGCATTCTATTTACTTAGGCTAAAATATTAAGATACAAAAATATGTATAGGGGAGAGAAAATACATCAAGTATATTTTTAACATTAAATCTCAAAACCTGGTATATATTGATAATATAAGAAATACTAAGTAATGATGTTTTAATTTATTTCTTTAGTTTCTTAAATGTAACATGTAGATACTAAAATATTTGTTGTAAAATTTAACTTTTTAAATTTTTTAAAGATTTTATTCATTTATTTTTAGAGAGAGGGAAAGAGAGGGAGAGAAACAGCAATGTGTGGCTGCCTCTCAAGCATCCCCTGCCAAGGACCTGGTCTGCAACCCAGGCATGTTGTGCCTGATGGGAAATCAAACCAGTGACCCTCTGCTTTGTAGGAGAGCATTCAACCTGCTGAGCCACACCAGCCAGGGCATACATTTTAATTTTATATGTCAGTAACCAAATTGCTACGAATGTATTGTAAAAATGAGAACAGAGTTTAAAAGTAGCTTTGCACATATTTTCTTATAATTGTGGAAAAATAACGGCGATACATTTCTTATCATTCCCTTAAGCTAATTTGACTTTTAATATTGTAGAATTTTCAAATTCATAATATATTGGGTATTAATAGTCACTACAAACTACAGTGCCAATAATTCCTACTTTCTGATCTCATTCCCCCTTTCTCCTAATTTCTCCTTCCTCAAATTCCTCTCTTCTCTCCCATTTCTCACCAGAGGAATTTCCTTTAAAAAAACAAAAAGGGAAAAGGACTTTGTACCTCATAAATCTCCTGTGAGAAATTAATAAAATGACTGTTAGGTGAAGGAGACAGAAGCTTGTGAATAATGCTTCACATTCTCACTTTCTCAACACTTTTCTGCCTTAATACTTTCTGTGTCTTCATAACTAATGGACATCATTCACACAGAAAACTTCTATTAAGAACCCTCTTTAAAAAAAAAAACAAACCAGAAGAACCTTCCATGTGGGACACCAAAATGCACACTGTCCTCACAGGAAGAAATTAAGAGTCCAGGAAGAATAAAGTCTAACAGTATTTGATGATAGAAGGAATACCTACAAGAAAAATAAAATTTCGGTGACTCCTTGTAGAGATAAACAGTCACTAGTGAAGGACTCTGCAATTTATAAAAATGAGGCAAATTTTTCAACAAAAGTATTTGTGTTTACTTTTTTAAATGCTGGTAAATACACATAACATAAAATTTACCATTTTAACCATTCTGAAGTATACAATTCAGTAGCATTTAGTGCATTCAAAATGTTGTGTAACTACCTTTGTAAGTTCCAGAATATTTTTTTAACGATTTTACTTTATTTTAAGAGAAGGGGAGGGAGGTAGAAAGAGAGGGAAATGTCACTGTGAAAGAGAAACATTGATCTTGCAAGTGCCCCAACCAGCGACCAGGTCTGCAACCCAAGCACGTGCCCTAGCTGGGAATGGAAACTGGGGCCTTTCCCTTGGCAGGTCAACGCCCGGCCAACTGAGCTACACCAGTCAGAGCTGTAGTTCCAGAGTATTTTTATCAACCCAACAAGGAACCCAAAGAGTTGTATGTTAACAACTGACGTATGTGTTAATGGGGTTCCTTGTTGGGTTGATAAAAATATGCTGGAACACCTCATTCCCCTCTCACCCAGCCCCGGGCAACCATTAATCTGCTTCTGTCTCTCTGGATTTGTATATTCTGGACACTTCATAGCTATGGAATCAGATAATATGTAGCCTTTGTGTCTGGCTTCTTTCTCTTACCATAATGTTTTCAAGGTTCATCCATGTTGTAGCATGTATCATTGCTTGATCTCTTTTATGGTTGATAATATTCCACTGTATGGACATATAACATTTTGTTTATCCTGTAATTCTTTTGGCTGCTGTGAATAATATTGCTATGAACATTTGTGTATAAGTTCTGTTTGAACACCTATTTTCAATGCTTTTGGAAGCATAACTAGGAGTAGAAGTTCCAGGTCATATAGTAATTATGTTTAACTTACTGAGAAAATTGCCATGCTGTTCCAAACATTTTTGGCCCATTTTTAATCAGATTGTCCTTGGGCTACATGAATAGGCATATAATCTTAAAGATTTCTCCAGAAAGATATATTCCTAGGTATGATAAACTAGCAGAATGGAATGAACAGTCCAAGACCCTACCTAAAGGAAGGTCCTTACCTACTGTTAGGTAGAGTTAGGTGGTGCTGTACAGAAACATAGAATGGAACCAGACAGAAGGAGAAACAGAGAGGGAGGTTTTCTTAGGTGACCCTTAAAAGGCCTGACACGCTCGCATACTTGGTAAATGCTTTATCAAACCTTCCATTAAACACAACCTCCTTCCTTGTGGATGCTTCTCTCCCTCTTCCTCTACAGCAATCTCCTACAGTTGCCATCAACCAAATTTCACCTTTATATAAAGATTTCTATAAACAGGTTTTTGTTTGCTTAGTGCTTTATATACCTAAGACTAATTCTATCATTTTAGGGCTCTCATGCCCAGAAATACTGCTTTATGTATACCTCCATCACATTTTTAAATCTGTTAATACAATAATGGAAAAAAGCTGCATGCCAGCCTCAAAGTAGAATGCCCTGATGATACTGCGTTCAATTGAGACAATTAAAGGTATGTTAACATCTTAATAACTCTAAGGCCGATAACCTTGCAATTGTACCCAAACTATCAAAATTTCTAAGTCAAAATCATAACTTATTTTTAAAAAATTCTTACATTCTGTTCTGCCAATGAATAGACAAGCTGTGGAAGGATGTCCCCCTTCACAACTGCTTCGGCTAGGTCATCATTATAATTAGCCAGTCTCCCAAGAGCCAAAACAGCAGTCTGTTGAATTGTTGGGACCACATCCAGAAGAAGAGGCCTCAGCAAAGACATTACACCTGAGATAAAGTATGAAGGAACAGAATCAGCAAAATTTAAATTAAAAAACAAGCATACAATTTAGCACATGTGCAAATAAGAAAATGAAGGGGAAAATCAGCAAAAACAAAAAATTAGCCACTGCAAACTAATGGAATATTTAGAAGTCTATAACTGGCCAAGACACAGAATAATACAACCTATAATTATCAAAGCAGCATAGTGTGGAAATAAGCACAGCTTTGGGTTTAGAGAAGAGTTTAAATCCCTGAGCTGGCAAATACTAGCTATGTGACCAGACAGGGCTGTCGTGACAAATGTAAAGAAGGCCTGTGAAGCACGCAGTATGATGCCTAGCACATGGAGGTGGGAGGGGCTAGATTGCCCCTCCCCCCGCCCCGACCTGCCTTACCCCGTTTGCAAATCCTATCCTTCAGGGCTCAGTTCAGATCTTTTCCTCCCCATGAAGTCTCTCTTTTTTTTTCCCCCTCTGATTACAACACTTGAGACTTTCCTCATTCCAAATGAGTTTATTACAGATATTTTATCAGGATCAAACTCAGAGCCAGGGAAACTTAGAGTGCCATTTGTCCAGGGCTGCATTCATGAAGGGCTGCAAATCAGATTTCTGGCATTATCTCCAAATAAATAAATTCTCTGATATAAAAAAGTATATCATATTATCAGCTCTCGTAATATTCATTTTAGAGTTGAATACATAGTAGGTATCTCATTCTCACAACAATTAAAAAAGTAGCTTATACTTATGGAGCACTTACATGCATGCATTGTTTTAAGAATTTGTTTTCCTTAAAGGAAGAATCTATCAAGAAGACATCAATATTGTAAACTTATATGCTCCCAATATAGGAGCCCCCAAGTTTATAAGGAAATTGTTGGATGACTTCAAAAAAGATATAGATAGCAACACACTGATAGTAGGGGATTTCAACACCCCACTGTCCAAAATGAACAGATCTTCCAAACAAAACATTAATAAACATATCGTGGAGCTGAATGAAACACTGAATCAAAGAGACTTAACTGACATATATAGAACCTTACATCCCAAAGAAGAAAAATACACATTCTTTTCAAATGCTCATGGCAGTTTTTCAAAGATAGACCACATGATAGGACACAAAGCAAGCCTCAGCAAATTCAGGAAAATTGAAATAATACCAAACTTTTTCTCAGACCACAAGGCCTTGAAACTCGAAATCAAACTCAAAGAGAAACTTCAAAAACTTGGAAACTCATGGAGACTGAACAGTACACTTTTAAACAATGAATGGGTCAATAATGAGATAAGAGAAGAAATCAAAAAATTTCTGGAAACAAATGAAAATGAACAGACAACTGTCCAAAACCTATGGGACACAGCAAAGGCGGTCCTGAGAGGGAAGTTCATAGCAATACAGGCTTACCTTAAAAAGATAGAAACATTTCAAATAAAAGACCTAACACTACAACTTGAAGAACTGGAGAAACAACAACAAATAAATCCCAGAGCAAGTAGAAGGAAGGAAATAGTCAAGATTAGAGCAGAACTGAATGACATAGAGACAAAAAGAACAATTCAGAGGATCAACCAATCCAGAAGCTGGTTCTTTGAAAAGATTCATAAAGTGGACAAACCTTTAAGCAGACTCATCAAGAATAAAAGGGAGAGGACCCAAATTAACAATATCAGAAATGAAAGAGGAGAAATAACAACTGATACCACAGAAATACAAATGATCATCAGAAACTATTATGAACAATTATATGCCAAGAAATTTGAAAATCTGGATGAAATGGACAAATTTTTAGAAAAGTATAATCTTCCAACACTGAAGGAGGAAGAAACAGAAAGCTTGAACAGACCGATAACAGTTGGGGAAATTGAAGCAGTAATCAAGAAACTCCCAGCACACAAAAGTCCAGGGCCAGACGGTTTCCCAGGAGAATTTTACAAAACATTTAAGGAAGAGCTAACCCCTGTCCTTCTCAGACTATTCCAAAAAATCCAAGAGGAGGGAAGACTGCCAGACTCCTTCTATGAGGCCAGCATCACCCTGATCCCCAAACCAGATAAAGACCCTACAAAGAAAGAAAACTACAGGCCAATTTCGCTGATGAACATAGATGCTAAAATCCTCAACAAAATATTGGCAAATCGCATCCAGCAATACATTCAAAAGATTATCCATCACGATCAAGTGGGATTCATCCCAGGGATGCAGGGATGGTTCAATATACGCAAATCAGTAAACGTGATACACCACATAAATCAAAGAAAAGACAAAAACCACATGATCATCTCGATAGATGCAGAAAAAGCATTTGACAAGGTACAGCACCCATTTATGATCAAAACACTCAGCAAAATGGGAATCAATGGGGCATTCCTCAACGTAATAAAGGCCATATATGAAAAACCTACAGCCAATATCATACTCAACGGGCAAAAACTGAAAGCTTTCCCACTAAGATCGGGAACACGACAAGGATGTCCGCTCTCACCGCTTCTTTTCAACATCGTATTGGAAGTCCTAGCCACAGCGGTCAGACAAGAGAAAGAGATAAAAGGCATCCAAATAGGAAAGGAGGAAGTAAAACTATCATTGTTTGCAGATGACATGATAGTGTACATAGAGAACCCTGTAGACTCTACCAAAAAACTCCTCAACCTAATAAGTGAATTTGGCAAAACAGCAGGATACAAAGTCAACATTCAGAAATCAAAGGCGTTATTGTACACCAGCAATGCAATAGAAGAAGAAGAAATCAGGAAAAATATACCATTCGATATAGCACGAAAAAGATAAAGTACCTAGGGATAAATTTAACCAAAGACACAAAAGACCTGTATGCAGAAAACTATACAACATTGAAAAAAGAAATTAAGGAAGACACAAATAAATGGAAGCATATACCGTGCTCATGGATTGGAAGAATTAATATCCTTAAAATGTCCATACTACCAAAAGCAATTTATAGATTCAACGCAATCCCTATTAAGATACCAATGACGTATTTCACAGAAATAGAACAGACATTTCAAAAATTTATATGGAACCATAAACGACCTCGAATAGCTGCAGCAATTTTGAGAAAGAAACACAAAGTAGGAGGGATCACAATACCGGACATCAAACTCTACTACAAAGCCACTATACTCAAAACAATCTGGTACTGGCACAAGAACAGACCCATAGACCAGTGGAACAGAATAGAAAGCCCAGAAATAAGCCCAGGTCTCTATGGACATCTAATATTTGACAAAGGGGGCAGAAGCATAAAATGGAGCAATAACAGCCTCTTCAACAAATGGTGTTGGGAGAGCTGGATGGCTACATGCAAAAAATTGAAATTGGATCATCAGCTGACACCATACACAAAAATAAACTCAAGATGGATAAAAGACTTAAATATAAGTCGCAACACCATCAAAGTCCTAGAGGAGAACATTGGCAGGAAACTCTCAGATATCCCACGCAGCAATTTTTTCACTGATATGTCTCCTAAAGCAAGGGACATAAAGGAAAGAATAAACAAGTGGGACCTCATCAAAATAAGAAGCTTCTGCACGGCTAAAGAAAACATCAGCAAAATGAAAAGGGAGCCAACCATTTGGGAAAATATATTTGCTAATGATACATCAGATAGAGGTTTGATCTCCAAGATATACAAAGAACTCACTCGACTTTACTCCAAGAAGACAAACGATCCAATCAAAAAATGGGCAAAGGACCTGGGCAGATGCTTTTCTAAGGAGGAGATACAGAGGGCCCAGAGGCATTTGAAAGGATGCTCTGCATCACTAGCCATTAGAGAAATGCAGATCAAAACCACCATGAGGTACCACCTCACACCGGTCAGAATGGCCATCATAAACAGATCCACAAACAACAGGTGCTGGCGAGGCTGTGGAGAAAAGGGAACTCTAGTCCACTGTTGGTGGGAATGCAGACTGGTGCAGCCACTATGGAAAGCAGTGTGGAATTTCCTCAGAAAGCTGAAAATGGAACTGCCTTTTGATCCAGCGATTCCCCTGCTGGGACTATACCCTGAGAACACCAAAACGCCAATACAAAAGAACCTATGCACCCCAATGTTCATAGCAGCACAATTTACAATAGCCAAGTGTTGGAAGCAACCTAAATGCCCATCAGTAGATGATTGGATCAAAAAATTATGGTACATATACACAATGGAATACTACGTAGCAGAAAGAAAAAAAGAAGTACTAAACTTCGCAACAGCATGGATGGAACTGGAGAGCATCATGCTAAGCGAAATAAGCCAGGGGGCGAAAGACAAATACCATATGATCTCACCTATAAGCGGAACCTAACCAACAATGCAAAGAAGCAAGGCAAATATGGCCAGCAACACTGAAAGGAAAAGAAATCAACAGAGACAAGAGGGAAGAGGGGGGCAGGGAAAGGGAAGGGAAGGGGAAAGTCAAGGAACATATAGCAAGGACTCATGGACAAAACCAAAGGGGAAGAGCTGAGGGAGGGAAGGTGGGAGGGGGCAAGGGAAAGGGGGGGGGAAGGCAGAGACAAATGTATTTAAAAAGTAAATAAATTAATAAAAAAAAATAAAAAATAAAAAATAAAAAAAAAAAGAATTTGTTTTCCATATTATTAATTTAGTGACCTCTCATAACAAACCTATGATGTGGGCCCTATTATTATGTTTATTTTACAGATGAGGAAATTGAGGTTGAGAAAGGTTAAAAAATTGTCACACATCTAATAAATGGTAGAGCTCGGTTAGAAATTCTGACATTCTTGCCCTGACCGGTGTGGCTCAATTGGTTGGACATCAGCTCAACAATTGAAATGTTGCTGGTTTGATTCCCGGTCAGGGCACATGCCTGGGTTGAGGGTTTGGTCCCTGGTTGAGGCGCTTGCAGTTGATGTTTCTCTCCCTCTCTTTTTCCCTACCTTCCCCTCTCTCTAAAATAAATAAATACAATCTTTTTAAAAAAGAAATTCTGAAATTCTTATTGATAACTACTAAATAAATA